TGGGCAATCCTACTTCCGTAGTGATACTGCCTTGGAAACCCAAGGAGGGGTCGCTATGAGTCGGGGCTGACTCGACGGCACATAACAACAACAACTCATATCCACATTTAGTTCTATTGTTCATTCCAATGTAGTTAACGTGGATACAATTTGGTATCCTGTGTGCCTCCTAAATGCTGTATTGTGAGCATTTTTCAGGTTGTTCCAGTGTCACTTGACACTGATTTGAATGGCAACATGATCCATTTGTGACACTAATTTATAATCAGAGATCCAGGTCACCTGCTTCCTCTGACTTTTGCCCACTCAGTTCTCTGCCCAGAGAGTACATGTCTCATGAGTGTAACACATAACAGCCCCCAGTGAGTATTAGACAATGCCTAAGGGAAGCCTGATGTAGGGAGAAGGCTGATGTCTTCTCCCCAACTTTCTTCTACAACTTCACTTTGTGTGTGTGTGTTAAATATGTATATAACAAATCCTTTGTCTTTTCAACATTCAGGTGTGCAATTCAGTAACATGAGTTACGTTTGCCATGTTGTTCAATGGTCACCATTAGCTGTTTCTAAATTTTCACATTACCCTTAACAAAAGCTCAAAACCCAAAACTCCAAACTCATTGCCATCAAGTCAATTCTGACTCATAGCCACCCACGTTGAGTTTCCAAGTCTATAAACCACAGAAGCAGATTGCCTTCATCTTTCTGCAGGGCAACTGGTGGGTTTGAACCACAGACCTTTATGGTTAGCAGCCAAATGCCTTAACCACTACATCACCAGAGCTCCTTATAAAAGCTTAAACTCACTCACTCACTCACTGCCGTAGAGTCGATCTCGACTCATAGTGACCCCTCCTTGGATTTCCGAGGTGGTATCGCCTTCTGAGGAGTGGCTGGTGGGTTTGAACTGCCAGCCTTCTGGTTAGAAGTCAAATGCCTTAGGCACTATGGCAGCAGATTGTCCCCTAAATAGTGAATCCTCCTTTCCCCCTCCCTCCCACCTGTCACTTGTTGTTGTTGTTGTTATGTGCCGTGGAGTCAGACCCGATTCATAACAACCACTCCTGGGGCTTCTGAGGCCTTATCACCACTGAAGTAGATTGCCCAACTTTCCTTCTGAGGAGTGGCTGGTGGGTTTGAACCACCAGACTTCTGGTTAGCAGTCAAGTGCCTGAGGCACTATATTACCAGAGCTCCTGGTAACCACTTATTAACTTTGGTCTCTGTACCCTTGCCTATCCTAGATATTTCATATGAGTTTGAATCATATGATCTTTGTCTCTTTGTGCAGCTTCATTTTTTGTCCTTGAAAATAATTTGTCACAAATTTCATGAGGCACAGCAGTATATTTCCATTTAACATCCCACTGGGACATCAGACACTGATTTCCATGCTTAAGCTTGTAATAGGAATGAAGGCTGTAATCCTCCTCCAAATCTCAGTGACCGTTTTAGAATTCTCAGAAGAAAGTCATGGCCAGTCTTTGAAGAGATGAGTTTTAAGACAATCATCAATCTGGGAAAAGTAAGGGTAGGTGAGTTAGAAGGACAGAGATTTGAGATTATTTTGTTGAAATTCTTTTTAATCCAGGATAAAAACATAAATGATAACTAGCTTCTATGTGCCAAGCACTGCTCTAAGCACTTACATGAATTAATTAACTAATCCTCAACAATTCTATGAAGTAGATACTATCACTACCACTTTACAGATAGGAAACTGAGGACCAGAAAGGTTAAGTGTTATGTTAATGGTGACACAGTTGGCAAGTGGTGATGCTGGGATTTGAAAATGGGCAGTCAGGCTCCATGGTTCATGCTCTTAACAGTGAGCCAAGTGTACCTCACAGGGCCAAGGTCTAGAACAGGGGTTGGTAAACACTTCTCTGTAAAAAGCCAGATAGTAAATATTTTAGGTTTTGTGTACCATACGGTTTCTGTTGCAACTACTCAACTCTGCTGTTATAGTGGGAAAGCAGCCATAGATAATATGTAAACAAATTAATTTCATTTACGGAGACTGAAATTTGAATTTCATTTTATATTCATGTGTCATGAAATATTCTTTT